CGGGGACTACGGGGGGAGGGGGGAGGGACCGCTCTGTCCGCGCCCCAACGCCGGCCGCGGCTTTGAAGGGTCTTCCTCCTGGCCCTTAGCAGCTCCGCCGCGGACTCCGGGAGGCTGCGGGCGGCGTCCTGGGGCTCCCTTATCGACCTGATCGGACTTAAGGTGATCGCTCCGCTTTCCCACTCCCCCTTCCCGCCCCGTTTCCCCGGCTTAACTTTTTGTCTCTCTTCACCCGCGGCTCGGTCCTCTCCCTGCAAATCCACCCTCAGCTGCGCCAACTGCCCGGGGCATGGGCCCCCCAACACGGCTTCTGGAGGCCCCGCGGCCTCGAAAGATGTGAGAGGCCCGCCCCGGGCACATCCAAAGCTTCGCGAGAGGAGCTGGTAGCCCCCGGCCGCCCCACGCCTGGCGGGGTGGCGGAGCGCTCTGCGCCCCCTCGGTGCTGCTGAGCGTCCCGGAGCGCCCAATCCGAGGCTGGAAGGAGTCGCTGGCCGGAGGCGCGCCGCGGAGAGCAAGCTGTCATGCCCTATTGATCCCCCCCTGCCCCCCGCCAAGAATGTTTGGGCTGGACCAATTCGAGCCCCAGATCAACAGCAGGAACGCTGGCCAGGGCGAGAGGAACTTTGAGACCGGACTGAGCATGAATGCCCACTTTAAGGCCCCTGCTTTCCACACAGGGGGGCCCCCTGGCCCCGTGGACCCTGCCATGAGTGCTCTGGGCGAGCCCCCGATCTTGGGCATGAACATGGAGCCATACGGCTTCCACGCGCGGGGCCACTCGGAGTTGCACGCAGGGGGGCTGCAGGCGCAGCCTGTGCATGGCTTCTTTGGCGGCCAGCAGCCTCACCATGGCCACCCGGGAGGCCACCACCCCCACCAGCATCACCCCCACTTCGGGGGCAACTTCGGTGGCCCGGACCCTGGGGCCTCTTGTCTGCACGGGGGTCGCCTGCTTGGCTACGGCGGCACTGCCTCGGGCTTGGGCAGCCAGCCGCCCTTTGCGGAGGGTTATGAGCACATGGCGGAGAGCCAGGGGCCAGAGAGCTTCGGCCCGCAGCGACCAGGAAACCTCCCGGACTTCCACAGTTCGGGCGCCTCGGGCCACGCCGTACCCGCCCCGTGCCTGCCGCTGGACCAGAGCCCTAACCGGGCTGCCTCTTTCCACGGCCTGCCCGCCTCCAGCGGCTCCGATTCTCACAGTCTCGAGCCCCGGAGGGTGACGAACCAAGGAGCCGTCGACTCGCTGGAATACAATTACTCGGGCGAGGCGCCCTCGGGACATTTTGACATGTTTTCACCCTCTGACTCAGAGGGGCAGTTGCCTCATTATGCGACGGGTCGTCAGGTTCCCGGGGGCACTTTCCCGGGTGCCCCGGCCATGCCCAGAGCTGCGGGCATGGTGGGCTTGGCCAAAATGCACGCCCAGCCTCCGCAGCAGCCGCCTCCGCAGCCCCAGCAGCCGCAACAGCAGCACGGCGTGTTCTTCGAGAGGTTCGGTGGGGCCCGAAAGATGCCCGTGGGTCTGGAGCCCGGGGTGGGCTCCAGGCACCCGCTAATGCAGCCTCCCCAGCAGGCCCCAGCACCCCCTCCGCAGCAGCCCCCGCAGCAACCTCCCCAACAGCAGCCGCCACCACCTCCCGGGCTTCTAGTCCGACAAAATTCGTGCCCGCCTGCGCACCCGCGGGCGCAGCAGGGTGAGGCGGGCACACCCAGTGGAGGCTTGCAGGACGGGGGCCCCATGCTGCCCAGCCAGCACGCGCAGTTCGAGTACCCCATCCACCGGCTGGAGAACCGGAGCATGCATCCTTTCTCTGAGCCTGTTTTCAACATGCAGCATCCCCCTCCGCAGCAGGCGCCCAACCAGCGGCTGCAGCATTTCGACGCGCCCCCCTACATGAACGTGGCCAAGAGGCCGCGCTTCGACTTCCCGGGCAGCGCGGGAGTGGACCGCTGCGCTTCTTCGTGGAATGGCACCATGCACAACGGGGCTCTGGACAACCACCTCTCGCCCTCTGCCTACCCGGGCCTACCCGGCGAGTTTACGCCGCCCGTACCCGACAGCTTCCCCTCAGGACCTTCCTTGCAGCACCCGACCCCGGACCACCAGTCCCTGCAGCAGCAACAGCAGCAGCAGCAGCAGCAGCAACAGCAGCAGCAGCAGCAACAGCAACAGCAGCAGCAGCAGCAACAACAGCAACAGCAGCAGCAGCAGCAGCAGCAGCAGCAGCGCCAAAACGCAGCTCTCATGATTAAACAGATGGCGTCGCGGAGTCAGCAACAGCGGCTGCGCCAGCCCAGCCTGGCCCAGTTGGGCCACCCAGGGGACGTGGGCCAGGGTAGTCTGGT